CTTCCTTGGATCTCTAAACGATCTTCCAGGTTCCGTTTGGAGAACATCATTATGCGCAATCATTGGTCCGCCCTGGGACAACTGGCCTTGATTTTGACCACTCGGGTTTCTTTTCCGTTTCTCTAGATTTTCTTCTGTGGCTAGGCTAGCCAAATTTCACGGGTATGTGGCAAAAGGTCCCAGCTTCTGAACGATATAGAAGCCCACAGCCGTTGCCCCTGCACTGTTAATATTCCTCTACATGTCCACTTTTTTGAGTGGGATGACCGGCAATTCCTGTGCTGCCACTGAAAGTACCGTATGCACAGCTTGCAAGAGCTCTATGAAAGTGAACATTTCCTTCCTGTGTTCATTATGATATTCTGCCTTGATGACCTGCAATAACTTAATGAAAGTGATTATTTCCATATCATGTCTATGGCTATCGAATCCTCAATGATATTCGGCTTTTATATCCTGCAAAGCTTCGTGTCAATGTTTAATGATATAATGCCTTCATGTTTAATGGCGTTCTGTTTGAATGCGCAATGGTATCGTGATGGAAAACGCTTGATGGAATTCTGCTTCAACTAGAAGAAAGTCTTTGGATCGGTGAGAAGACAGAAAAATTTCCTATTTGAAAGCCTTATATAAACGCTCTGAAACTTGTGTCGGGACCCTGTGCTCAGTTTCAATAACTAATCTTCCACCCGGCCCTATGAAGCAGGTCACATCGTTGTTGGGGATTCCCCGCGGGGGAGAGGGTCGTATTTGGTCGCTGGGAGAGGAGATGAGTCCTATTCGGGCTTAGAAAACTTTTTTATAGTTGATTTCTCTTGTTTCAGGAACGTTGTGAAGGGGGAGGGTGTCGCATTTGCTCATTGTTGGGAGGTGGTCGCATTTTCCTTGTGACCCTCTAAGAGAGGTTGCTGACTTTTAGTGTTTTCCCGTTTCACATGTGCTATTTAGCCTCCCCACCCCCTTCCCCGCTTGACAGCATATTGATGTACCCTGGTGTGAAGTCTTCCAAGCAAAATCGAAACAAGTAGTTTGAATAATCACTGAAAAAAATAAGTTGTGTATTTTCCCAGGACTCATTTCAGAAGTGACTTGTATCATTTTTAGTTCTTCTAAGTGTAATGCTAGAAGGTTTTTCTACGCTTTCATCTCCAGGCTGGCACTCTTTGTTGCACACACGAAGGCATACGTCAAAGTCGCTGAAGATCGAGATGGTCGCCGTTACTGCTGTTCTTGGATTCTGTGCAATTGGAATACGTATGTGGCCATATTGTCCGTTACGCTATGTGCCTCGGGAGGGGTCGCTCTGGAAAATGACTCGACCACATCACGTTCTGAGACAACAAAGCTACTTCGCGCTGCTATGTTGGTGTTCGTAGATGAGAAGACATGGCGTGGATCAATGATGAGGGCCCCTCCCAAGGTAATGAGTGCACTGTTTGCTTTGAATCAGTCGTTTTCGAGAGGGGAGTCGTTACAGTGCAAAGTTCCGTGCGGTTCGACGACTTGGAGGGGCATTTTGCGTTTTTGCTGCTTCCCATCGACGTGTCGACCCATCTAGACAGCCTCTTCTCGAGTTGACAGGTTTTACCATGATGGCTTGACGAGCTTGCTCCAGCTTCACAAGAGTTCACAGGTTTCACCAGAGTGAGACTTGTAAACCAGGAACCAGAAGAATGAAAGTGCAACTTTCCCCCGCCCCCTCCGTCGCCGAACTGCGCCAAGCTCCTTCTTACTTCTGAAGGCAGTCCGGGCAATATAGAGGCAGAGCTGAGATCAAATAATTGTTGGTACAAAAGAGCTGGGACCAGAGTTATGTGAACTGTGATCTGAGGCAGTGTTCAGACTTCGCGATGACGCTCGTCGACGAGCCACAATTACAACAACATTTCAATGGTATAGACGCGAGCGCAGCAACAGAAGGGAGTCGACCGGCGCTGACCTCTAGTGCTCATAGAGAGTACAGAGGATTAGAAGAGTACCAGGTTGTGTGAAGGCAGGGCCCACCCTTCTGTTATCCTATACTCTCTCAGAACGCAAGCGGCCAGCGCCGATTGGTTACCGTCTACGGCCGCGTTCTGTAGCACTGGGGCTCCCTTGCGGTGGTAGCGCGTCATCGCGAAGTCTGAACGTTGCCGACCTCCCACTGCCCTTCCACTAATTTGTGCTTGAACTTCATTTCGCCTCCCTGATGCTCTATGCCATTCTTATTACAGTACCCGTTTTCTGGCATGTTTTCCTATTTGATCGCGTCAACAGCACGTTCCAGTGCTCTTCATCGGTCCATCTGATGCAGCATTTCACTGTGGCGCTGAAATGTCTGACAAAGTGCGACAAGCGTTCCTGGATTTTCACAACCAAGTACGATCGCGAGTGGCAAAAGGATTTATACACAATAAATGTGACCCACAGCGATTATCAAAACTACCGTGCCAACGCGAATGTGTGATCAGTTGGTGAGTTCACGGTATGGACCAATGCTGGGGTCAACAAGAGGTAACAGGTCATTGTGTTGATTTTCTCGTTTTCCCTATTTACCAAACTCTTGTTGATTTTTGATTCCGCGCTGAGCGAGTGGGCGAGAGTCTACATATTGTGCCATCCTCATTAGGCACTTTTCTCTTGAACATGTTTTTGGCATGAAGAGGGCGATGTGAGAAAGACACAGGTAGTGAGTACCCGATTCATCATACACTTGTAAATGCGGTGCTGAAGTAGCAAGGTGTGGGCCATACCTCTTTAAGAGAGAGTTGAGTGTTTAGTAGTCACGTATGGTGGGTAATGACGTTTCTTGAGACACCACACAGTTTTCTCGTCACTGATGCGTTACGCTTCAGGTAAGAACTTCAACTGATAGCGAATTTGGACGCAGATGAGCAGAGGTCCGCAGTGTAAAAGATCTCGAAAGAGGTGCTCAGTGTGCGCGAATCTATCTTTGGTGCAAACAAGGTTCGCACATTCCGTGAAATGTGATCCACCCGATTCGCAGCTCCTTCCAGGCTCATAAGAAAGTGTCCTCTTTCGAATAGCAGACCTGTGCTCAACCAGGGTACAGCATCGAGATGTGTGAAATGGTCATGTCAATACGACCCCGTCCCCCCCGAAAGAGGGTCTCAGGTAGGCTCCTATCTAAAAGGAGGATCTCGGTGCGACCACGCCTTCTCCAACACTTACTACCACTTCCCTACAGTTCCCAGCTTCGTACTAGATTTTCCTGAATTTCCCACATTTTCCACTTTTTCAATCAAAATTAAAGATTTGAAATATTGATGAATTGTTCCAACGCGGGCAAAACGCCCACAGTGCGAAATTTACATATTCCCTTCCAGGCAATCATCAATATATGACCCCGTTCAGTGGCCTAGACCGATTTTGACCCCCAATGTATTTGCATAACGATTAAATGTTTATACGTGGTTAACCAACCACAACCTGGTTAACTTTGCGCATAAATTCAGTGTCCTCGATATGTCCATGCGTTTCTTTCAAATCACTTTAGAAGTATCAAGACTGCTTCTGAGAGAATATCTGCACGGAAATGGGTTGGAGCGGCGCGAATGCAAACCGTTTCACGTCGAGATTGGCATGTCGGCGAAATATCTTCGTCTCTTTCCGTTTTACAGACGACATGCAGTTATTCCAACGAATGGTGGGTCTGATGTACTCATCATAAAGGCAATCACAATCAGAGAAAAAGGTTGAGAATTGGGCAAGCCTCGAGTGGGCGGAGTTGTCGTTCCAGCGGAACAGAATGTGCAGGGACATTTGAACTGGCTAAGCTCGCCCGTTATTCATTTTGGCTGAGAGAACAAGGTATTCCTGTTCCGTGATCCCAAGTTTTAGGAGCTCATTTCTTCCTGTTCCCCACGACAATTTGGACCATGAGTATAATTGGGTATCGAATAGCTAAACAATGTACCAGTCGAGACCAGGATTATTCTCTTTCCCGGACCAGCTTATGCTCTTTCCCAGAACCGCCGGTTGCGCATGAGATCATGGAGGGCTAGAAAGAGGGGAAAGATGTCTTGTAATCGTGATGAACCTGCTGGAAATAGCACGAGACGGGTTGTCAGGAGCAGCTTAGAGTGTGCTGAATAACACCTCCTCTAGCTCTCCTGCAACCTTTATATGAGCTGGTCTCTCCGGAGGACGTCACGCCTAATATTTCCATTCAAGTTAATAGAGGCGGTTGAGAGTGCATTCTCCATTAAAGTTTTGTAGGGTCACCAATATGTGAGATGTGTTCGTCGCCCTTCCATCGAATTTCTGGGCCACCAGACTAATTCCAAGGTGCCAAGGGTTCACTCGACCCGCGTGCGATTTGTTCTCAGGGAGTGGTAGGGCTCATTCCGTGTAGGTGCGATTTGTTTTCAAGGACTCCTGAGGCGGGAGGGGTATCTGTCTTGCCACTGCATTAGCTTCATTTAGTCCTATTGGTGGACCTGGTCAGATTTTAGCAGGGTTTAGGATTTTCGCACTGGATGGGAGAGGAAATGGGTGAAGACTCATAAGACCTGCATTTCTCGGTGTATTCTTTCTTTAAATATTGCAAGGAGAAGGGTTGCGCCAGGCAGGGTACAGCATTGCTGTGTGAAACACATGGGGGGGGTCGCACTTGGCCGCTGGAGAGGGGGGTCGTATTTGGTGGTTTTTCTGGGAGAGGGGGGGGGTATGTGGCCTTGAGAGAAATTCGCCGCGTTGGGAGAAAATTTTCCGTACTGACACCACCGAATCACACATTTCGATGTACCGTAGCGCCAGGGGAAAGGCACATTTGTCACGAGTCCCTTCCCCTTTCTACGCCCACACAACTATAGCATGTTTGCTTGAGGGAGAAAGTTTTATTGGGCACAAGAAACATCTAGCAGGCGTCCAGAGCGCTCACTGGCTGACGACTTCAGCTCTGCTTTCTCTACATCCCCAGCTACATCTCTTGACGCAAAATTTTTACTTCACTTCTGAAATAGTCAACGTTTTATCGTGTGTTCCAGAAATCTGTAGCTATGTGGGCGAAGGAGATCGACATTCTTGGCGTACGATCTCTGTACGGGATGACAGGCGGTATCCTGCATACCACACAGGTAGGCCTTCCAGCAAGGCTCATCCAGTTTTCAAGCGAAAAGATCACAGGTAATGGGGTGGGGGGGCGGCGGAAGAATGGTAACAATGTTGTGAGGGGATGACGGCATTGTGGCACGTCTGTATGGAAAGCGTTAAAAGATGACGAAACAATTTCCACGAACAATATGAGAGGGCGCAGAAAACAAACATGACATAGCGTGGAATAATCGAGCCGCAGCGTGCTCTCCCTCCCTCCCTACCCCCTCCTGATGGGGCCGCACATAGGAATCGGTCAGCACTTGAGCATTGAGAGTGTGAAGAAACGGACAGTACAAATACCCAATGACGCGGTCTCAAATCGATCGGCACTGGCCGCCAGGGTGGCGTCGGCGGTGCTGATCGATTCCGGCTACGTTCGCATCTATAGCATTAGCGAGCTACAAGTATAGCGCGTTGCAGCGCGTTGCAGCCCGTCGGCTCGCGTCATCGCAAAATCCGATAATCGTGGCTCAGGGTCAGTGAAGGCTACGTCTTCTCTACGAGACTCTCCCTCTACGGCTCTTAACTAATGTAAGCCGCTCTGGGAAATCGGGACAAGAGTGGTCGAGGGCTCCCCCCCCCTCCTCCATCCCCGCCCCCACTAATGTGTGCGCCATTCATAATTGATCCTTTTCAGATTATCTGGGGTGATACGAAGACGGTCGGATGCGCAACTAGAAAATGCGGTCCGGGTAAAAAAGCGGTCGTTTGCCATTACTATCCTCAGTAAGTTAGTTGTCGGTTCTTGCAGTGATGTTTATCGCTGAACAAAAGTCGCCGCGCGCGGTTGCGTCACGGACCGAGACAGAGCCCTGACTGGACACCCGGCTCAACGGTGTCTGTTTCAGGGGAAACGTTGTCGGGAAACAGTTCTACTCTCCTGGTAAGACGTTGTCGGATTGTGCAAAACATCACGAAAAGGAAATCCCCCATACAAGCACTGGACTCTGTGAAATTTTGACCTGATAATTTGACCAAGTAAAACCATTAACGAATGGATGTTAAATAAACATTTGTGTTTGTGCGTATTTTTTTTTGCTGCCACTTAGGCAAGCTTTCAGACTTCGCGAGTGAAGCGCTTCTGTCCCGTGGTCGACGCGATCAATACGCATGCTTGTCTGCCCCGATCGCGTCGAACACGCGACCGAAGCGCCTACCGTCGCGAAGTCTGAGCGCTGCCTTATACATGTAATACATGTAATACTTATGCATGTAATACTACGCCCAATAACGCGATGGAATCGAGAGCAAAAACGGTTCATTTCTGTTAGATTACAATATCTACACACGGAAACAGCGTATCCCGTATCGGAGATCCACGTCACGGCTGTGCGGCGCAACATCCGCAACAAGACCTAATTGATTGGATATGGCTGTAGAGCAGTGTGTGAAGTCTAGCTCGCTAATACTGCTGCTTTCTATGGAATGTCCTGACCTGTACCTCGGATTTACCGCTTTCCGAATCGGAATCCGAAAGGCGATATTCTAGCAGAAAACGTTCTGACCAGCTGACTCGATACGCTGCAGCAACACTATGCCAATCGCTAGGGTCCTGTTGCGAATAACGCGCACGCTGCGTCATTTGCCGCCCTCAACGCAAGCAGGATCGGCTGCGCTACACCTTCTGGAGTATCATTGATCCCGAGCGACACGAGGCGCGTTTATCGACGCAGGAAGCGATAGCATCTCTTAGTTCGCTACGAAATTCATTCAGAAGCCTTGTGAGGCGTTCAGAAACGCTTGTCGACGGGTTTGAATGCGCGTCGAAATTCGATTTTACCAGAAAAACAACTGGAGAGGTGGGGTCAAGGTCGGGATGGGTAGGGCATGGGACAGGATGTAAGAGAGCACCTATAACCCATGTAAGCCCCGCCCACGGCGGGCGAGGCATGCGCCGAAAGTTAGAGGTGAAAAAAATTCATAATTCGCTTCAGAGCAGCTCCGAGATCCGAGAGGAGAGAGGAAGTGGAGTCAGAATGTTATCAGTCAAGGGGTGTGACCATCTGTTCATAAAAGAACAGGCGGGTATTGGTAGAGTATTCAAACATGCGGAAGGAGGCAAGCGCGGCGAAGCCTGGCCGTATCATGGAAGGAAGTGCGCCGGCGAGCCGAGTGGTACGGGAATAGGAGGGTAGAGACTGTGCGCAAGCAGCGTCGACTCTCCCAATATCCTATACCCTCTTGAAACACAGGCGGTCAGCGCCAACTGATACCCGCCTGCGTTCTTTGCTTAGGGGCACCATTGCCGTGGTAGCGCGTCGACGCAAAGTCTGAACGCTGTCTGAAAGAATATGTCAGTTCGAAAAAAGGATAGTTCTCCTGGTTCTGATACCAGTAATCCAACTCTAGTGTAAAGTTTAATTTATTGTTGGTGTTGTTAAGTCAACGCTTCAGTCGGCAAGGAGCATCAACCCGATCGGTAAACGATACCAATGGATGGCGTTTGTTCATCGTTAGTGCAAACGTGACCTGGTCGATCTCCTAAGACTCACTATCAAGGGCCGAGGTTCACCGTTAGAGCGTTATAAGGCGCGCCAAAGAAGTTAGGGGGGGGGGCAGACTCGCCACGCCTCTATGTCCCACCCCTGACCAAGGCTTACGTGTAGAGAGCAGACGACCAGAGTCGCCCAGGGATAGGCTTGCAGAAAGGACAGAGTTATCACCTAGCCTGAGCCTTGATCAGCGGAACGGACGCAGTGGTGCTGCCAAGTGGTTCCCCTCTCAAATTACGTTAGCGTCTCCCTTTCTTGGAGGGTTTGACTATCATAAGAACTAATTCAATATTTGAAGTCAGTGGCTGATCCCCTCCTGAAATACGCAAGAATATGTTTTATTGCCGAAAAAATGTCCTTTTGTGATCTTTGATTCAGCTCTTTGAGCTCACAGTGTGATCTACTGCCAGGCCTCGCCGGCCGTCGTTGATCGATACCACTCATCAAATGATTCCAATCGGGCTAATGCATCCTTGTCATATCTATTGCTTCGTGTACTCCGTATTTCTGCAGTGGGGAGGGCGGGGCCGTGTGTAGCATAGGATGCGTTCTTCGTGGTACATTTCCATTTGAGACAATTTTCATTCTGACTTGTGCTGAACAACGTCATGACTTCAACTGACTCAAAGCTGCTGTATTCCACAAAAGCTAGGCCACCCCCACGTTCAAATGGTGCACACAGCCACGCCCTCTCCATTTCACGGATATAAAATGTATGTTGTCGTGTAATCGCTCTCAGTTTTTGCGCCTTGTGACGGGCTCACGAGCCGAATTCTTTGTATAATCGGTTTTTCTTTCCTTTCTCTTCTATCTATGTACCTTTTATCGCCGCTATTTCGATAAGAAGTGGCATTTTTGTATAGAGCCCCTCAGGCATTCAAAGTTATAACGAACATTGCGCAGTTCGGCTTGGTGGGGGCACCAAGTAGTACTGATTGAAACCTTACGGACCAGCTAGAGAAGATCTGTTGATTCCTGTAATCAAAGTGCCTCACTTGTACCATTTCACCACTTCACAAGAGTTTACAATTCTCAACGAAGTGAGACCTGTTAGTTAACACGAACTAGTAAAAGGAATATTTTCCCCTGCACCACTACCCCCCCCCC